TCTCTCTCTCTCTCTCTCTCTCTCTCTCTCTCTCTCTCTCTCTCTTTCCTGTACTCTCTTTTAAAAAAATAAAGTGGGCTTCGGGGCTCAGGGCAGAAAGCCCTCCACAGGGGAATGTGGCCCTAGGGCGCCTTCTGTTGGCGCAGAGTGGGCAGGAGGTGCCGGGGCCTTCTGTGGTTGCTGTCACCAGGACACCAGTCGGGCTTCTCTTGCACACACTGTCCAGGTGGAGACTGGTGTTGGGGTGGCCGCCTCCCTAAGTGACAGTGACCTGCACACACTGAGCGGTACATTCATGCAGGACTTGAAAACATCAGCCTGGGAAGCTCCTGGATGGGGCGTCACCTCAGCTACGCAGGGGTAAGGGCTCAGTCTCTGCCACCTTCTTTCCTTCTAGGTAATTTTTAGCGTCTGCCGCTCTTGCCACCGCAGGACAATGTCGCTGAAATCGTATCCCATGAGCTGCCAGGGAGCGCCCTGCTCTCGAGCCTTTGCCACCGTAGCTCTGGGCGCAGTAAGCGCTAAAGTTCGTTTCCCACGTGCTGCTACTCACACAACCGAAGGCAGGACACTCGGCGCTGAGACCTCCGGGGCTGGGCCCCCAAACCCTGCTCCGCCCGGACCGGTCCCCGACACAGTCCGGCGGCGGGAGCTGCCCTTCCTGATGACCCCGCGCTCACCCTCCCGGCTGTGCACTGAGTCTCCGCGGCCCCGAATGGGGGCCAGAGCCTCGAGCCCATCCGGTAGCACCACGGAGGCGCGAGCTCCGGGCCCCGCGCCTGGGGCCAGGCTCAGGGGAGGGCGAAGCCGGGTGAGAGCCGCTATCTGCGGTGTCAAGGCCGCAGTCTGTCGGCGCCCCAGAGACCAGGGTTTCACCGCACGCTGGGGCGTGTGATGTCGCGTGGAGACACTGCGGCTCCCGTGGGGCGGAACCAGCGCCTCCTCAGCCCTGTCCCACCCACGAATCCCGGCTGTCCACCCGGCAGGAACGGGGAGCTGATATGACAGTCCGTTGAGGCAGGAGAATCTCTGCGCGGACAGGACGCTGCGGGACACGAAAGGCGGGCTGGCGCCCCCAGCGGAGGGACACGCGACACCCACCTTCATCCTCTGCGCACCCGGGCTATCCTGCGCGAGGCCCAGCAGTAACAGCGAAAAGAGGACCAAGCCGGTGGCAAGGAGCTGCGGGCACATGGCTGGGCTAGTGGGGTCGAGCCCTGGCGCCCCTTAAAAGCCCAGCGGGGCCCGGGCGCCGGCCAATCGGGGGCCGTGTCTGCTGGCCCCGCCCCGCCCCCAGGCCCGCCCATGTCTTTCTGCCCTCCAAGTCGGCTCGCAGCCTTGGGCCCAGGGTGCAGCTGGGCGCGTTCCCAGGGGTACCAGCGGGAGGTCGGCCCCGGTCTTGAAGTCCCAGTGCTGCAGTGAGCAGCCTGCATTGGTCTTCCTATCCCCTCGACTTCTGCTCCGGGAGGTCCTGAGACCGAGGTGAAGGGCCCCGGGTCCCGCGTCCCTGTCGTCCTGCTGCAGCGCAGCCCCCCCAGACCCAGAGCTCTGCTGAGACAGTGACCCACCCGACTGAGCCTCGAGGCCCGGGACCTAGGGGCCCGGCGTCGGCGCCCCTCGTCCCGGCTCATAGTGTGCACATCCGCGTTAGAGCTGGAGCCGGCGGGGCTGTGCATTTGCCTGCTGCCCAGCCTCTCGGATGTCTCGGCAGCGCAGTGCGGCGCCGGGGCTGCAGCGTTGCCCGGGCTTTGCCCAGGTTTGCGCACCCGTCCTGGAGGATAGTGGACCCGCGTCGGCCCTGACCCCAGCCAGAACCTCCTCCAAGGCGGCCCTGCCCCAGCCTCCGCCGCTGCGTCCCGCCCCCCACCCTGAGCAGGGCCAGGTGGCAGCAGCTGCACTGTGCTTAGGAACGCCCAGTTCCCCAGATCTCTTGGTAGAGCTGGGCAGGGCCACCGCGCCCATCGTACCCACAGGAGCTGGCGCTCTGCTGTGTCTCAGCACCCGTGACCCAGCCAGGCGCAGCACTACCCCTGTAATCCAGCGCTCTGGGAGATCGAGGCACGAGGATCACTTCAGCAATTTTGTAAGACTCTGCTTCCAAATAACAAAAAGAGCTGGGATATAGTTTAGTGCGAAGGTCCCGGGCTTAATCCTGGTACCCCTCCCACAACACACACACAGAAGAACCTGCTCCTCCCACAAGGCCTGGTCCCCAACCTTCTGTAACTTAGGCCTGTGTGTCCCTGGGGAGGAAGGGACATGCTCATCCTGTACCTGAGAAACTAAAATGGAGCTTTAAAAGTCATGATTTTTCTCTTTGACCAACTTCTTCATTTGATGCTAGAAACCGCCACTACCAGCCAGGATGGGGGAGGCAGCCCCAAGGCAGCGCCTGCTGGCTTCCCCTTAGCTCATCTTTATTGACTGGACTCTGGGTGGCAGAGGGCATCGGATCCAGGTGGCCAGGGCCACTTGCAGTCCACTCAGTCCACCTGGTGCCTGGGATGACAAGACGCCGTGTTTGCCTCTTTCCAAACTTTGTGATCATTTCATGTCTTCTCATAGTTTGAGAAGTTCTGACTTATTCCTGGTCTACACTGACCAGTTCTCACTTTAAGAAGATCAGGCCTCCAGAGTAGCGATTCAGATAGTCAGGAGCTCTAGCATTCAGATGGTCAGCTGCTACACTTCAGACATGGACAGGAAGCCGGGCAGGGTGTGGAGCGCGGGCTCGGCAGCCTGCAGAGCCGGTGAGCTGGGGCCGCGATGTGAGTGGGAAGCCGACTTCTCACCTGGGTCCCACTGTCCCTGGCTGGACGCCAGGCTCTGGCCTGGGTCCCTGGAGCTCCCGGCCTTTTCCATAGCCACATCTGCCAAGCCCCAGCATGTGAGCCAATTGAGGAGGACAGAGCAGGAGAAAGGGTGCTGGCAGGTTTGGACAAGAGGTGGGCTGGGGAGAAGAAGGAGAAGAAACAAGTGAAGAACCAGCAAGAAGGGAAGAACAAAATTCAACCGGGGACCGAAATGTGCAGTCCCTTCTGGCTGTGTGCCAGGCCTGCTTAGCATTTTCTCATTCAGTCAGCCCTGAAGTGATCACAAGTTTAATATTCCCTCCCTTTCATGAATAATGACATCAGTACAGAGTACAAATAAATATTTCTCCAAAATTGCAGCTGTAGTTATGCATGAAGCTGGGACTTGCACTCCAGCGTGGTCCATGCCAACCCACACCTCCTGCAGGGGGTGGTAACGGTCCCCACAGGTATCCGGTGTTGGTCACTGACCTGAAATGTTATCTTGTATGGAAAGGATTTGCAGATGAGATTAAGAAAAGCTTTGAGATGGGGATTATCCTGGATTATTTGCTGGGCCCTGAATGCAATCACAGCATTCTCTCTGGGGGAGGGGCAGATTCTGCTAGCAGAGGAGAAGGTGGAGCAGGCCTGGGCTCCAGGAAGGTCTCACAGCCTCCTCTCCTTCTACTTTCTTCTTCTTGTTTATTTTTGAGGTACTGGGGATAGGACTCAGGGCCTTTACACTGAACTACCACTCTAGCAGTGTTAATTTACTTATTTTTATTAGAGACTTGGTCATTAACTAATTTGCCCAGATGGGACTTGAACTTGTGATCTTGCTGTCTCAGCCTCCCAAAAAGCTAGGCTTATAGGCATGTGCCACCATGACCCATTGTAATTTATTTTTAAAACTGACAAAATTATATGTATTTGCCATGTTCAATATATTCTTTTGAAAATTACATATGTTGTAGAATGGCTAAATCTAACAACTATTAATTCACATGTTACCATGTTGCAAGGATACAATGTAGCCTTAATTATAACCTTGCACAGTGTATCTCCTGAATTTCTGCTTAAAGCCCAAACCTGTGTTGTAGCCTCTGTTCCAAACTTCATGTAGCTACCTGGTCAGGTTGAGAGAGAGTTTGAGGCACCTTGGGGACAAAAGGCGGGGCAGTCCTGGGCCCCCCTGGGACCTGGAGCCAGGTAGATATATGGCCTGCCCCCTTTCATTTTCCAAAACAAACTAACAGACCTCACAAATCAGGTGCTTTTTTAAAGCCAGAATGACTACACTATAGCATCTCCAAGAATAAATTAGATGAGAAAAGAAAACTGTTGGGGACTGTCACTAAGGAACCAATGACCACAAAGTCCCTGCCTTCAGTCCATCAGTCACTACGAGGATGATTTGTGTTTTCTTCTGAGGCAGGTAGGGGCTTGACCTCAGCTTTTGCTAAAAACTACGACCACCAGAACAAATATCGTGACTCTGCTTGACCTTGCAGCTGCGAGAGGGTAGAGCCTGGCTCTCTGCTCGTTCGTAGTCGGCTCCTTTACTACAGCTTCGGACCAGGTTCCCAATCGGCCCTGCATGTGGATGGGTTAATCATTAGGCAGAGCCTGTCTAAACCTGGTGGCATGAGCTTGCCCAGTCTGAAGGAACAGACTATCTTCCCCCCTCCAAGTTGGAGGACTCCAAGATGAGAAGTTTGCAGACATGTGGAAAGCTCCCCTGCCAGCTCCGACCCCCGTAACACACACCCCAAAGTCTCTAGTCCTTGCCAGAGCCTGCAGTCACCATGGGTTCCTGTGACGCCTACTCGGAACAGAGACACCCCCTCACTGAGACCAAACAGTCCCCTCAAGCCACAGGGACTTCACTGGGGCCAAACCAGAACAGAGGCTGGTGCAGCAGCCCTGGCTGCTCACCCTTCTGCAGCGGCCATTTCCATGTGCATGGCTGGCCCAGATGGGGAGGAGAGGGAGAAGAAAGAAGTAAAGAGATAGAGAGGGGAAGAACAAAATCCAGCTGGCAGGAAGGGGGTGGAAATGTGCAGTCCCTTCTGGCTGTGTGCGAGGCCTGCTGAGCATCTTCTCATTCAGTCAGCCCTGAAGTGATCACAAGTTTAATATTCCCTCCCTTTCATAAATAATGGCATCAGTACAGAGTACAAATAAATATTTTCCCCAGTCTGCAGCCGTAGTGACGCATGAAGCTGGGACTTGTACTGCAGCATGGTCCACGCCAACCATGCGTCCTGCGGGGGTTGTTGTGGTCCCCACAGGTATCAGTGTTGGTCCCTGGACCTGAGATGTTATCTTGTATGGAAAAGATTTGCAAATCAGATTAAGACAAGCTCTGAGGTGCGGATTATCCTGGATTATCTGGGCCTCTGTCAAGGGGCGACCTCATCTCGTGGTACTGTGTCCCTCACCTTCTCCTCAAGTTAAAGCCATTTCCCACTTTCTGTAACTTTCCAATTAAAGTCTGCTTGATGCTGTTGCTTCAGTGTTTGTTTCCATGGTCTCTGAAACAAGGACCTGTGTGAGGCAGCAGCCACTGGTGACACGGCTTTCCTCTGCTTCTAGGAGCGCTTCTGAAATGCTGTGTCTGCACTTACCCCAAATAAAACTAGGTCTGACATTAATTATTTTTTAAAAAATTTTTATTTGTGTGTGTGTGTGTGTGTGTGTGTGTGTGTGGCCAGCTCAGCCCACCAGGGGGCGGGGCTGGCTGGCATGTGGTGCTGGGGGATTGAACCGCAGTCCCTGTGCTTTGCTAAGCTTGTTCTAAGTAGGTGCTTTAGACCACTGAGCCATCTCACCAGCCCTGACATTAATTATTGATCCAAAAGAAGGATCAAGATTTATTTTCAGAGGATGTCTTATTTTTTAGCACCAAAATCTATTTTTATTCCAATATAGTTATGTCACCTTCTGGAACATCATTGTAAGTCTCCAAACCCCAAATTCTGCCCTGAATTATTATTTTTTTCCTGGTGGTTAGTTTATTCTTATAAATATTTGTTTTTACAGGATACTCCAAAGAATAAATAGAGGCACATGGCTCTAATGTCCATGTAATCTGCTGCTGAGGGAGATTTGGTGCGAGGAGGGGAGCTGGGGGCGTGTCTGAGGTCCAGGGCACCTCTAAGTCTCTGACAAACTGTGCAGGGATCCTACCTGCCCAGATCTGACCCAGGCCCAAGGGCCATGGCATTTGGTGCAAGAGTCACCACGAGCCACCTGTGAGGAGCCAACACTCTTTTCACTCACTGCAGCCCCTGGGTGAATCCAAGTCTCCCTACAGGGTGCTGAGCCTCTGGGCAGAAGCTGCTGGTGGCCTTCTGTGGGATTAAGCAGCTCCGGAGGGCCTCAAGTGTCTGGCTGGGC